TAGTACCTAAGGTGTTTGACTGCTAACCAGAAGGCTGGCGGTTCAAACCCACCAGCCACTCCTCGGAAGGAAGGTTGGACAATTTACTTCTGTAGTGATACTGCCTTGGAAACCCAAGGAAGGATCACTATGAGTCGGATCCGACTCCACAGCAGCGACTTTGGTTTTTTTGGTTTAATTTGGAAGTTATACACTATTTCTTTTCTTTTAGTAGTTACTCTAGAACTTATACAATGTATACTTAAAAGTGTAAAATTTATTAATATCCTTGTTCCTCTCCCAACCATCACAAAGATCTTAGAACACTAATTCCAGACTTCACCTGCCTCCTGACTTAAATGCTGTTATTATGGTGTATTTATATTTTTATACCCCACAAGATACTTTTTAAAATACTGTTTTATACAATTAATCATTAAAATATATTGGGATTTGCTGACATGTGTGATGCATCTTTGACCTTCCATCTGGCTTACTTTCTGCCTAAAATAAATGTTTTGGAATTTCCTTTAGAGAGAGGGGCTGCTGGTTACTTATGCTCTCAGTTTTCCTTTATCTGGAAGCATTTTTATTTCACTTTCAATCTTCCTTGAGTATAGAATTCTCAGTCAAGAGACACGTCCCGCCAGCATAAAATTGAAGATTTTATTCTACTGTAACTGACTTTCATTTTTGCTGTTGTGAAGTCAACAGTCAGTCTAATTATTGCTCTTTTGAAAGTAATCTGATTTGTCTCTCTGGTTGTTTCTAACTTTTCATATTGTGCAATTTTATTATGGGAGCACAATGTGCCTGGGTGGATAGTTTTTAAAATTTATCCTGGTTGGGGTTTGGTGGGTCTTTTGACTCTGGGAATTGATGTCTTCTCATTGGTTTTGTTAAGTTCTCAGCCATTCTCTTTAATTTCTTCTTCCGGAATTTTATTAAGGTGTATTATTTTCGTCTTGTCCTCATGTCTCTTAATTTCTCTTTCATAGTTACTTACTTTTCCCTCTAGGATGTATTCTGGTTAAATTTCTTTATCTTTTAGTTTCCAGTTTGCTCTTTAGCTGTGTCCAGTCTGCTTTTAATTTTCATTCAATGAAATTTTTTAATACTTATATTTTTCATTTCCAGGTTTTTTAATTCCTTTTTCAAATTTGCTATTTACTCTTATTTTCATACACTCCCCTACAAACAAATGCTGCTTAAAAATTTAACACCCTTTATGTTACATTTCTAGTGTAAGCAGAGGATAATTTTATTGTTCCAGATTTTTCTGTACTAAAGTATTGGCCAGCATTAGAAATACCTGCATTTTCTTGCCTCCCCTGGCATAAGCACTTAGGAAAAAGAGTCTGTCTTGAGCAGGAATACTTTTTTTTTTTTTT